ACATGCAAAACGCACATATAGTGGGTATGAGTACCTAGACCTACCAGGGTACACAACTACATTATATCTAACTACACATCCTTGGCGATATACGCACCCTGACCACTGATCCGGAGACTCAAACTCATATCATGGCACCATACTTATATATATAAAATCTAGTAACCATCCTATTCAGTATAAATTAATTCTCCATAAGTCATTCAACTTGTTCAGCTGACCTGACTTGAATATAAGTAGGACTTAACATTTTAGTTAATCCATTCCCTTATATAATAAATTAATTCTCCATAAGTCATTCAACTTGTTCAGCTGACTTGACTTGAATATAAGTAGGACTTAACATTTTAGTTAATCCATTCCCTTATATAATAAATTAATCCTCCATAAGTCATTCAACTTGTTTAGCTGACCTGACTTGAATATAAGTAGGACTAAATATTTTAGTTAATCTATTCCCTTATATAAAATAGGTAGAACTTAACTGATAAGTTAATCCGTCCCTAGAATGCCACCGTCCCATACCGGTGCATTAAACCACACAATCCAATAATTAATGTAACGATTAAAGAAATACATCAAACAATCCAGAAATAACCATGATAATATGATATCAAGTTATCAAAAAATAGGAATGACTTATTATTTATTTAAGCTTCCTATATCATATATCCTACATAAACTGATTCTTATACATATGATGATATTTTATTATACCATCAAATAAGCATTCTCCATATCCAATTCATCCTACACATTTAATCTCAATTGCTAAAACACATTAAAAGATTAAATTCATTCGTTTGTTTAAAACATTCAAATAGCAAGCATCATTATGATTGAGTCTATTTAAATTTATTTAAACCCAAATCTAGTTCCTATTTAATGTTCAGGAATCCTAGGCATGTTTCTACGTTCCATCATTCCACAGATATGAAAAATGCATAATTTAAATATGTAAAAATTCACATCGGAAATCAAATCAAAATCATGCATTTATCAATTCATAACACAAGAACAGATATGAACAAAATTCATAAAGCCTATGTTCTAATCCAATTAAACATGCATAATTATTTAATTTTATGTGTTTAATAAATTCTAAAATTTCCTAGGCATGTACAGAAACACGAATCAAAGGGAAAGAGATAGAAGAAGAATTTGCCTTAAACTTTCGGATCGAAAGTTAAACTTTTTTTTCATTGATCTTCTCTCTACAGGATTTTTTTCCTCTTTCCCTCTCTAATTCTCTCTCTTTAGAATATATCACGTGAATATTTCTAACCCCCTTTTACAACCTATAGCTATATATTTATAGGCTAAATAAAATAACCCTAACCCTTTTCCCAATTCAAGTCAACTTAAAAAAAAAAATATTAAAATATTAAAAAGGTAAGTAAAATATGTTACGTATATAATTTATGTATATCTTTATTAAATAAATAAATTATACCCATCCCATTACTTATTAATGGATTATCCAATAATACTTAAGTTACCATAATTTTATAAAGTAACTTAAAACATAACACGTATCAAATTTATGTATATTTTTATTATTTAAATATAAAACATATACATCAGATTAAATATTACTACCCAAGTTACCATAAAAGTAATTAATAAATTACTTTCATTTATATATATGTATATAATATATATCTATATATATACATACACAACTATCCATGGGTAATAATCCATATACATCCAACTTCCTATCCAAGTAGTCAATAGGACCCAATTGGTTGGCCCATTACTACTAACCATAACCATAAAAGAAAAATAAAATAAAATAATAAAATAAAAGAAAACATTTAATTTATAATTGATCAAAACACCATTTAAGCACATAATCTAATTAAACAATTAACACATAGACAAATACAAATAATACATAGACACATAATCAAATAATCAAGTAATACCTAATTTAATTAAACACATAAGCAATTAGTCAAATAATCAATTAAATAATTAAAAATGCAATTAAAACAAATAAATAAATACCGAGACTATCCTTTTAAAATTAGGGGTATTACATTAATGAAGAGTTTAGCAGTATGCCTTAGTTGTAGCATTTTCCTCCAGCTCCAAGAGCAAGGCTATGGGAAGTTTAGAGACCACAAGTTCTTAGACTTTAGGAGATGAAAGTGACACCATTTGATCCAGAGCCTATTGGATTGATCTGTTTGAAGTTCCCGGATAAATCTCAAGATACCTGCCCTATTTGCAGTTTCCAAGTTAGGAATCCCCAACCCACTAATAAGTTTAGGGGTGCAAACCCTACTCCAAGCAACCTTTAAACCTGAAAATTTCATTTCTGGCCCTGACCAAAGGAACTTTCTAAAGATCTTATTTAGCTTATCAATGACCCCCTTGGGCAGGATGAAAATGTTACACCAATAGTTCTGAGTAGATACTAGAACTAACTTGATCAATTGCAGCCTACCTACATAAGATAGTGACCTTGAAGTCCAATTTGTAACTCTGTGGGTGATTTTACAAACCAAAGAACTGCAGTGTTGGCCTTCAAATTTGTAAAGATCAGTGGCACACCAAGGTATTTAACTATGAGAGATGCTGCTTGAATGCCAAGTAGAGAAGAGATTTGTTGATAAGTGTGATCATTTATTCCAGAGTAGTACACTGCACTTTTAGATAGGTTAATGTCAAGTCCAGACATTAAACAAAATAAATCAAGAGCAGACTTAAGGACTGAAACTGAGCAAATGTCTCCATGGCAAAATAATAGAAGGTCATCTGCAAAGGATAAGTGAGTGATTCTTTGCTCTTTACACCTCCAATGATGCTTGAAAGAAGACACCCTTCTCCCATAGTTGGCTACAATAGATGAGAATGCACCTATAATAATAACAAAAAGGAGAGGGGAGATATGATCCCCTTGCTTAAGACCTCTCTTTCCTTTAAAAAATCCCTAGAATTCACCATTAAGAGCTATGGTGAAGGAGGGTAAGGAGATGCAGGATTTGATGAGAGAGACAAACTTAGGAGGATAATTGTATAGTGATAGACAGCTTATGATAAAGTCTCATTTCACTGAATCAAAAGCCTTCTCGAGGTCCACCTTGATGGCACACCTTGGTGGTTTGTTATGTCTGTGATATCCTCTCAGTAGCTCATGTGCAAGAAGGATAGGATCTGTGATTTTCTTTCCATGGACAAAGGCAGATTGAGCTTGATTGATTAGATTTGGTAGTGTGGATTGTAACCTGGCTGCAAGCAACTTTGATATACACTTGTAAATGGTATTAACACAAAAGATATGTCTATAGTCATGGAGAGAGGTTGGATTTGACATTTGGGAACTAAGGCAATGTATGTATTGTTTGCCTCAGCTAAGAACTTACCATTCCTAAAGAATTCAGAAATAACTTTTGTGACTGACCTGCCAATAATACTCCAAGCCTTTTGAAAAAGAATGCATTAAAACCATTAGGGCCAAAAGCACTATCTTTATTTAGGTTCAACATGCAGCTTTTGATCTCCAAATTGGAAGGTATTTCATCTAGATAAGAGTGTTGGGAGTTAGGGACAACTTTGGTAATAAAGATTGCCAGGTCAGAGAGTTGGTGTGTAGGAGGAGGGGAGTGGCCTAGTAAGGATTGAAAGTGTTGAACCACTTGAAATTTAATGTCATCCATGTTATGGATGGTCTGGCCATCATCAAGTTTTAAAGACACAATCTTCTTCTTATTGTTTCTTAAAGTGAGAGATCTATGAAAGAAGGCTGAGTTACAATCTCCAAGCTTTAACCAAGCCATTCTTGACTTTTGTCTTAGGACATCTTCTTGGATTTTTCCCAACCTCAAGAATTCAGTGGTGAAGACTCTTTCCAACTCTTTAAGAGTGAGATCACTGGGGGATGAATCCAGGTCCATTTGGCAGGACTGGAGCTCAAGTTGGATGGCATGGATTTTAGAGTCAAATCTCTGAAAATTCTTTCCCACATTTGTTCCTTAAGATAGGTTTTAATTGTTTGAGCTTTTGAACAACTTAGAACATTGCAGTTCCTTTGACTTATGTATTCCAAACTTCATAAACTGAGGAGTAAAAAAGTTGGTGGGATGTCCAAACATTGAAAAATCTGAAGGGAGTATGTCTTATTGGTGAGTTCAGATTTAAAGTAACCAAAATGGGACTATAGTCAGAGATACCTGGGGTGAGGAACTGGCATTCTGAGATTGGAAAGGAAATAGACCATGTTTGATTTACCAGAGCCCTATTTAACTTTTTTGCTATGCATGCATCTCCTATACTCTTATTTGACCAAGAGTATAAAATGCCACCGAATTTTAAGTCCTCCAATTCAGCATTTTGAAGGCAATCTTTAAAGTCTGTCATTGCTGTGCACCACTTCCTCGATCCTCCATACTTTTCACCTATGTTAGGAATGACATTGAAGTCCCCCATTAATAGCCAAGGGAACTGAGCAAAAATGGCTGCATGGTGAGTGATATCATCCCATAAAATATGTCTTTCAATAGTACAGTTAGCTGCATAGATGAATGTAGTGAAGAAAGCGATGTTAAGACCAATGATAGAAATGTAACAATGTATAGCTTGTTTGCTGCAGTGAATGACTGATCGGTTAATGATGTTTGGATTCCACATACTCCAAATTCTTCCAAGGTTTGAGAAGGGATAATTGTCTGTGATAGACCACTGAGGGGCTATAAATCTATGAATGGCTACCACATTAGAAATTGCCACTTTGGTCTCCACTATGGAGACTAAATCAAGTTTCCTTTCAGAAATTAGTTTCTTAATTTCTGATTGTTTAGAGGGTTGATTCAGCCCTCTAATGTTCACATGAGAAGAGAAATCATGAGAAGGAATGAGAGAAGTGACCTTCAGGATGCCTTGGGCTTACTGAAGAACCCTCTGGAATCAACCCTTGAAAGATGTTGGCTCTCATTCTTGCAAATTTCTTTAAACTCCTTGCTGACAATCTCCTTCCTTGTGTTGGTGGAATACAGGTGCCTGGATCACTCAGAGATGATGAAGCAGGCAACAATGGAGAGTTAGTTGCTTGAGCAAGCTTGACAGGCTTGGGGCTTATTGTTTTGGGGCCCTTAGGTTCCCTGAACTTCTTGTGCCGGAAAAGTGTGGTTGGAGAGACAGTGGAGGTTGGATATTGAACTGGCATGGATGGTGTTTTTTGTTTGTGAGTGGTGATTAGAGTGGATTTTGGTGAGGAGAAATTGAGCTTCTTGCTGTGAATGTGGTGGGGATGGAGATGTGGAGTAGGATTGTGAGTCAGAGATGGAGTTGCTGACAATTATATTGTTGGACGATGAGGTTTTTGGTGATGGGAATGATGAGACAAAGTTATTTATGGAGTCTTCCATATTGGTGTCAAGCTGATGTAGTGGAGAAAATTGGTTGACATTTGAAGCTTTAGCTGTGAGGGGAGATGAGGGCTTAGTAACCATTGCAGTTCCCTTGTTCCTTTTCTTCCTTACTGTAACCCACTCAGTGAATGGCTGAATTGCAAGACTATGGTCCTTGGTTATGAGGGAAGAGGGGCCTGAGTTGTTGACAACACCTTTCCCATGAGGATGATTAATGTAAGTAAGAGGACAGTTGGCTTCTGAGTGGTTGAGGGCCTTGCATTTGGAACAGATTTTTGGCAACCATTAGTATTCAATTCTAATTTCCACCAAGGACAGATCATCCATTCTGAGTTGAACATCCTGTTTGAGAGGTTTGCTGAGGTCTAAGTTAACACAAATCCGAGCAAAATTCAACTTGGTCCTTGATTCTATAGCTTCATCAGCATATAGAGGCTCCCCAACAACACTTGCAATGTGGCTTAGCCCCTTTGTAGTCCAGTAATTAGGTGGAACATTATAGAACTTTGTCCAGATAGGTAAACAACCTAGTTGAACATGTTGAGGTTGGTTGACCTTGTTCCATTTCATTAGTGAGAAGGGGTGCCCAGCTATCCACCAGAGGCTATGGGAGAGAGCATTATCCACCTGTGATGGAGTTTTGAACCTGAAAATGAAGTTATTCTCCACAAGTATTGTATCAGTGAGCCTAAAAGATTCCCACAGTTTTGTTGCAGCATTCTGAACAACCTTTTGAAAGGAAGTTTCTTGTGGATGGAAAACCCCACCAAGTGGTAGGAAGACCAGAAAGCCAGTCCTTCTTCAACAACCTTTCTTGGTGGTTCGATGACAGTTGAGTATTTAGAGGTAAGGGCAAAGTATTCGAACTTCATTTTGTTTGTGCCTAGTTGGACTACATTTGACTAGGTCAATGTATTAGAGGTAGAGTGTGGTGGAGGGTTAACTGTGTTATCTATTGGTAGGGCATCTGTTTTATCTGTTGGATGTGCCATAACTGGTATAGTAGGTGTGTTATGTTTGGGTAAAACAACTGATTTGTCTGTTGGTGTATAATGTGGGAGTGGTTGGGCTATATTTCTAGGCTGGTTGTTGAGAGTAGGGGTAGTACCATGTGGAGAGCATGTGTTGTTATTACCTTTTTGGGGAAGCTGTGATGATGGAGCCTGCATGGAGGTATTGACCAAACAAAAAGATTTGAAATTCAAATTTGAATTTCAAACCAAACCTTCAGCCACCAGTGGTGGAGGAGCCTCTGTAGCAGTGGTGGAAAATGGTGGTGGAGGTGGAACATGTGTTGAAGTAGTTGCAGGAGACTGTTGGTGGTGGTTGATCTGTAGCTTAAGCTTTTCAAGCTCAGTATGTAACTCTGCATTGATCTTCTTTTGGTTGTTGTACATTTCCATTGCCTTCCCCAGATTCTCATTCTTCCACTCGAGTTGCTCATGTAGTTTGTCGATTTGGTGAGCTGGAGATGAGTATAGCAAAGGGTTGAAATTTCTAGGGAGCTGTCCTGTAGAAGCTGTTTGCTGTGACTGTAGTTGTGGTGGCTTTGGTTTATTTCTGTTGTTTACAGCATTATTAACTGGCCGTATTGGTTTTGTGGTAGGGGAAGGAAAATGCACAGGTTGTTGAGCTGAAATTGAAGGTGGGATTGGTGGTGGATAGATCTGTGTATGGGAGGTTATTTCTTATATTTTTTAGCTTTATAAATAAATAAATAAAATGATGATGTCCACTTAATGGAATAGGAGACAACTACGAAATATATATATATATATTAGGAAACATGAAATGGGCTAAATTTTAAGGATGATCTATGGTAGCATGCTGCAAGTTTAGATTTGCTAATGTTATGCGAGGAGAATGAAATCTTCACTACTTCTTATGACACCAATGATGCATGGTATCTAATCTTTTACTGTAGCGGATGTTTGTAGATTTTTTAATCCCTTTAAATTCGGTTTTAATACATTTGTCTATCTGTTGAACATCTATTGAAATTAAAAACAATTGCTTTGAAATCTCGTTTTAACATAATTATTTTTAATTTCAACTCATTAATTTTATATGTTGAAATCTATAATAAATGTGTTAGAAATATGATTTAATTACGTTGAAAATCAGCATATTACAGTGGTTAATTTATTTTTATTATTTATTATTTTTCCTGTTACAGGAATAAATGAATCACTAGTTTGCTCTTGAGTCTGGACCCCCAATCTTAGTGTATGGTTGAAACACGCCCAATCCAAAAGATAAAAATTAAATTCTAAGTCCAATCCTTGACTAGTGAGCCCGGTTCAAAATTACAAAACACTAGCACTTAACTTAGGGTGTTGTGGTGCTGTCGGACTTTCGAACAAACCTTATTTTGCACAAATGCGACTCTTCTGAGTCAAATAATCATCTTCTTCTTTAAAAAAAGAAAAAGAAAATAGATGGAGGTTTTACATTTGCATTGAGCAATGACCCTCTCATAGTCTCATGTAAAGGCAACCAAACCAGAGGAAACCAAGTTCATTTTTTCTTAATTTAGATTTATTACAACCACATTGCTGTTGCTATTCTGGACTTTATCAGTATTTAAACACAACGTACAGCAAAGCCATTTTAGCTAGCACCAAGAAAAGAAAAAAACAGAGACAAAAAGTAAAAGTCATGGATTGAGCAACTATGCAAAGGCTGCTTCTCCCAACTGCTTGACCTTTGTGATGTAGTCAGCCATTGCTTCCTCTTTGGATTTCCCTGTACCAAACCAAATATACAACTTCTCATCGACTATTTCTTTTTCCAAGTGACATTTTAACTATATATATATATATATATATATATATATATATATATATTTGTATGTGTTACCTTCAAGAGCTTTCCAGGCATCCCATTTTGCCCTCTCCTTTAAGCTGAATATTCCGGGTCGATCTGCTTGCATGCTTGTAAATTATAAGAATGATTGATGATCACAAACACATATATATAATTAAGGTTGTGGATGTGAATTAACTTACTGGTGTTAACAGCTCCAACTGTTGCCTGCTTAAATAGCCCGTAAAGGACGAGTTTATCTGCATCCTTTGTTGTTGGAGGCAGTGTTTTTGCCTTTTCAGCATGTTGTTCAAATTCCTCCTGTCACATATATACATTGTTAATTTCTGAAAAATTAATGACCTCAGGTTTACTTCTACGAAGATTAGGTGAAATCATCTGAGTGACAATTTAGTTTATTTAAATTCATGTTATAACTTGTGACAATGTGCATGAGATCTCTCTAATTTTTTTTTTTTTTTTTTAACGTTTTGATTTCATTGATTTGTCCATAGATGTCCCATTTTCAAATTCTTCAATAAGCCCAACAAAGTAAGTGTGTGGGTGCCCAAATCAATGGCATTACACACGTTAATCAAGTCTAAGGAAGCAACTTTGGGCATCTTCAGCAGCATAATCTCGACATGAATGAAAATTATGCTGACAATGCCCATCACAATTAGTTTATGTATGTTTCAATTTAATTTCTATTATATATGTACGCTTTACCATATATATCAACCATATGTATGAAAGTTTCAGTCACAGAAATTTTTTGGCATAGCTCTGATGCAAATAAAAAAGAAGACATTTCTACTGATTGAAAAATTAAATATACAACATAGATATATACAAAACACACATATACTTAGATATATACACATATATTTCTTTAAGTATATGTGTGTGTGTCTGCATATCATCATGTAACAGAAGCAAGACCATGAAAATTTACAGGTATGAGAGAGAGAGAGGGAGAGAGAGAAGAGAACCTGTAAAGCCATTTGATGAAAAATTTAGGAGCTTGTGAGTGGGTGTTTGTTGGAAGCTTGAATTCCTTTGGTATTTATGGAAGGCGAGGGACGGGATAAACGAGGTTGATATTTCTTGTAGTTTTCGCATGGGCTCAACTCAACTACCACTCGGTATTCATTTCAACCCGCATTTTCCGTTAGGTACGAATATAAGCATGCCTCAATTCAACTTATAAAAGGAAATTTAAGACTAAATTTTCAAATTTATCATTCAGTTTGTGAGTAATAAGTATTTTTTTTTTTTTTGGGGTTAAGTGCATAAAACCCCCTCACTATATAAAAAATATGCAAGAAACACCCCTACTAAAAATTAAGTGCATATAAATCCCTATTATCAACCTTTTGAGCAAATTACTCCCTAATCATCAATTTTAACCAATTTTTTTTATAAAAACCCTAAAATGCCCTTGTCGATGTAAGGAAAAAAAAAAAGAAAAAAAAAGAAAGAAAATCTGTCTTTTCCTTTCTCTCTCTAAATCGTCACTAAGTTCTCTTTCTATCTCTAGTCTCTACAACATAGAAGATCACCATACATTTTCATTGCATCTATTTCGACTTCAGCAACAACCAATTAATTAACTCTCGTCTAAAAATTACTACTTTAATAAATAAAACTATGTATTATCGTCGAAAAATTACTTACTTTGATAAAAGGAAAAAAAAATCTGTATTTAGGTAATTTCTAAAGCAAATTGCTTATATATATATATATATATATATATAACATAAAATTAACACCACAAAATATTTGATTGATGAAGACATGAAGAGGATGAACGTGTTCATTTTGTGAAACTTGAAATATAAAGATTGTTGATATTTCCTGAAGATAGATATTTTCAAATATGTCCAGAGTCTACATACATACTTTAACAATAAGATAAATGTTGTGTTGGTTTTGACATCATCTCAATTTGTTTCAGTTTTAGTCTATTATCATGGAGCCTGAGATGCACAAGTTCAATTGTACCTCTTGGTTGTTCATTAGTGCCTGTGATTGAATGTTATTTTGATTGAGCCACAGTATCATTTTGATCCTTCCTAGGTTCATAGCAGCATTTACATTCCAAAAAAAAAAAAAAACAAAAAAAAAAAAAAATTATATGAACATTGTTATGTATATCCTTGCAACCACGCCTACTCCCATATGTTAGAGGGAGAAAAAGAAAAATTTTGCTTTTAAAACCAGAGTTATTATGGGTTGATTGCATCTCTTTTAAAGATTTTGTATCTCATATATATATATATATGACAAGATTAATAAATATATGGAAGTTGTTGAAAAAGAGAAGATAGAGATAAACAAATATGGAAGTTGATGGAAAGAGAGTCCCACCAGAAAGTGTAAACAAAGAGAGAAATAGAGGGGAGAAAGACCTTCCAAAAAAAGAAAAAAAAATTAGACGAGAGAGGGGATATTTTGATTTTTTATTATTATATTTTTGATTTTTTATTTTCTTATATGGGTATTTTAGACATTTCAATGGCTAAATTGACCTAATGTCCTTATTTGCACAAATTGTAAAATATAAGGGGGTTTTATGAACAACAGGGGGTGAATTGCACATTTTGTATATTATGAGGGGGTTTTTTACACTTAATTATTTAAAGACCATTAAATCTTAGTTTTGAGTTTTTTTATTATTGTTTATTATTTTTTTTCTATTTAATTCCTAAATCACTACAAGTAGGAGAAAAATTTTGAAGTTAGAAATTTTATTCAAGAGTTGATTTATAAACTATTTTTTATATTTTCTTTGAAATTTTAGTTACTTAAATAATAATTAATATAATTTAAATTCAATTCAAAAAATCGTATAGAATACACAATTTTAGTACCAAAAAAATGAATAGCATGTATTTTTTCATTTTTATTTAAAATTTATGTCTAGTTTTGTAAGGGCATATATTAAATTTTGAGTCTACATTTTAAATAAAAAGAAAAAATACATGTTATTAAGTCCGAGTCTAAAATTTGCTATAAAAAGAAAAAAATACATGTTATAAAAGTTTGGTTTTAGAATATTGGTACTAAATGTTATCTAGGTATGATTAAAATATAATAATAAAAATTAAAGTCTCACCAATCTAGAGTATAAGATAATCAGATGTATACGATCAATCTATAAATTTAAATTAAGTAACAATAATCATATGCGGACATTGCAGTTCAAAATATATCGTGGAAAATTTACATCCACGAAATTGTATTGTCGATTATGTCCTCAAATCATGCATATGTTGGGGCTGGGGACAAAGATGGTGCGTTATCATTAATAGAGATGTCTGAGGTATAGAACAGTCTTGTAATGCGACAACAACAAACCAAGTGATTGATGCTAAAAAAAACCCATAGAACAATAGGTAGGGTGTTTCCGTTTGTGAGTGAGCGTAGCTTAAATAATGATGATGATAGGTCAAGACACACGGCATAAAAATCGGTGTTGGTTAGCGTGTCCATTAGGCATTTGCTGATACTGTGGGGTCCACTTTCACAGAAAATTAGCTGATCCCTATTCTACATAGGCTCGGAAGATCTGCCGAGCCTGAGCCTCCGTTGAAAAGGTGTCATCATTTCACTGGGTTTAACTTGTTTAAGGTATCTCCCCGCCAAACCTCTAGCGGTTCAGAAGGAAGCGGGTCTAAATGCTCCAAGCTTACGACAAATTACATACATAGATGGTATAATATTTATTACTTTGATTTCTTAGATTTAGAGTTTGTGTTTAACGACACTTTTATTATTATTTTTTTCGATAGATATTATTGACTAAATTTTATAAAAAAATTAATTTTATTATTTTCTTTTATAAAATATGGTTTCAAAATTTTTGTCCAATCTTTTATTTTGGAATATCCCAATATATATATATATATATATATTCCAATAATGGATATACTATATTTTATAACATTTTAAAGTATCTTTTTTGGCATTGACTTGATTATTATTATTGCCTAGTATTATTTTACAAATTGATTTTATTAAACAAGTGCACAAACCACAGTGTACTCATTTATATTGAGTTTGGGGCAATTTTAAAGATAAGACTAGTGCAATATTGTCCCTCTTTGGATGTGTAGAGATGATCACTGGCAAATGTGTATTGTATCTTAGAGCCGTATTGAAACGTTATACCACAGAAAGACCATACTACTTTAGATCAATGCTTGTATGCCTCTCATTATCCTGTCCAGTTATTTCTTATTTAATTTATTATCATTTTTTTCTTATCTTAATTTCTATTGTTGATATTATTGTATATATTAATATTTTATGATTTACTGTTGTATTCATGATGTTCAATTTGATGTATTATTATTCATGTCAATATATTATTCATGATGTTCTATTATCAATTCATGTTGGTGTATTATTTTTTGATGTATTATTCCTTTTGTATGAATAATAATTTTACGTATTATGAGTATAATGTGTTATATAACATTCGTGCAATTTCCCCAACATTTTGGAATTAAATTGTGGCTCTTTTAATCTTTGTATCTTTGTTGCCGAAAATAATAATAAAACTAATTTTTTTTTTAAAATGGGAGATGGTTTATTCAACATTATATTTGCTTACGTCTGGTTGCATTTATTTCAAACATTCCTGTCAATGAATTAATTCCATTACATCAATTGAAATTCTTTTTTATGCTAAAATCATTGATGCGTTAGGAGTGCATATTGGCCAATATATATATATATATGTTTTTTTATTTTGGTAAATTAAGAAAAGTAATTCAAACACGGACACACCATTAAGAGAATTAGACATTCTATCAATTAGGTAACTGATCACTGAATAATATTCATGTTGATCAACGTATATTAAAACACTAAAATATACACCTCAAGATGTCAAATAATTTGTGTAAATTGTATTGGTGAATATCAGTATATTACATATTTGAGTTAAAGTCACTTAAAAAATTCAAATAATGTCACTCATTCCTGTTGTTTCTAAAAAAAAAATTCTCGCGAAAGTAACTCCTTACTCATTTACTTGTATAAAAATGTGTTAAATTATTTGCATTTTACTTTCAAGAGATCATATTGGTCCTTCAATTAAAATTTTCTAAAGTTCTCCATATATATTTTACCAAATTTAAAGTGCAAGGACTTTTCTTAGAGTGAGTGTTTTTCGGGTACAAATCTAAATTCTAGCGTGCCCATTAATGCAACATTTCAATCTGTCAATAATATTTATCATTACGTCAACTCCCTGATTACATAAATAAATCGAAATTATCTGACTTTGGGGGCACCATATTATTACCTCTTGGAAAAATAATTGGAGCCTCCCATGTGTTGAACACAAGTTAGTAGACAGTGGTCCAGCCAAATGCAAGGGACCAACAACACAACAACAAGACATGTGAATACATGATCTATGGTGTGTACTGTAGATGCTTCCCAAAAATTGCTACCAATATTGGTATCTTTGTTTGGCAGAACAAGGATCAGCACAGCACCTTGTGGAGTGCCTGTGTCTACAATGTGAGAAAAAGGAAAGGCATTGCTTTTTCAATGCTTTTGTCTTATTTATTTCTCTCCTTCCACCAAAACCTAACAACACACACAAACACACCACAATATTCAATCTAATTGTTGTACTTTTCCATATCCAAATGAAACATATATATCCATGTACTGATTTAACTCATAATTGATTTCAACAGATAGTGGCTCTACCATGATGCAGCATGGACCAGTACTCTTAACATTAATTACAACATAGTTGGGTTGCTGTAGCTGTATATTCATTGTTGTTACATCTATGTGATATGATATGGTATGACACACACACACATATATATATATATATATATATATATATATATATATTATTCTCACACCAAGAAATGTTACATTGGATGAGATGGATCCCACATAAACTCGGTGCACAGCTATGCCTAGGATTCATCTTGTAAAAGTATATATATTGTATGTGATGAACTATATATTATATTTTCCCATCAGATGTAGATCTTATATCATTAAATGAGGTGGCAATCACAATATTCTTGCTTATAACTAAAATCAACGTACGAGACTTGATCCTATATAAAAAAAGGTGGGAGATGGACCACAAAGTTCATTTCATTTCTTTGATTATGATTTTTTGTTTGTGGAAATTATTTGCGTGCCAAATCTACAGCTGTACTTTGGCTATCATTATCTAATTTGGGTTGACTTGGCAAATTTTTTTATGAGTCAAACTAAGGAGAAAGTAGAAGATTATACACCATTGGTAGCAACGTAGACCATAAGACTGTAAAACACAAATTCAATGTATAATTTAATGGGACAAATTTGTGCATCTATGACAAACATTTTGAAGAGTCCAAGTCAATGCCCCCACATAAATTATACCTTGTATATATATATATATATATAAAAGAAAGATCAACTGTGTTATTTTGATTTGCTACATGTTGATTACATAATCGACATCAAAGACAAATCAAGAAAAAAGGGTGGAGGGTTGAATTGAAGTCCAATAAATAAAAGTGAATTATATAGCATCAATACCTAATGAATGATATTTCCTACTTTATAAAGTGAAAATTCTCTATGAGAAATAAAAGTGAATGCTTGAATTGTTTGTCAGAGAAATTTTTTTAAAAAAGGAAACAGATATAAAATTATAATAAAAGTATCAAATAAACAATGCTTGAAGGAAAGATTTTAAATTTCAATGTTCAAATCATAAAAGCAACCCTTAGTTTTTGCAGGACATCATTCATAATAAAGATTAATAATATGATTCCATCAAACTTGACGAGCTGAAGTAATATAAATATTTAGACTTTTAAATTCTATCCTATCAGTAGGATAAATGACCTGTCAATGGGCCACTGGCCCACTAGTGTAGCATATTCTTTCTCATAGGGGAAGTAAGGGGTTTGAGTCCCACAGTGAGAATTTAGACCATTATTGAGATTTCTTTATAATATATTAATATTTTTATGGGGTTATATTTTCAATCGAAGAATCTAAATTGAATTGACCCATCAAGTGTTTATAAATCTAGATCATCTAATAATTTATCTCCCACATTGGACATACCATGAATCTTATTCTATCCAAATTGTTTTTATAAAATTTCCAATGAAAGCTTGGTTTTTATGATTGAAGGCGAAAAAGATACTGAGTAGTAACTTCTTAGGTAAATTATAATGATCTCTCTTGATGTTTAGATAAATTATACACAGATAGATGTTGGTTTATTACTTTGATCTTCCCTAAATTAGTTAGTAAACTAAAAAATAATTTTGAGTGTGAAAAGTCACTAATCCTGAACTTTATAAAAGGTAAAATTTGGTTTAATAGGTATGTAGAGAAGAAAATATGAGAAGTATCGTTAGGCACACACCAAATCTCAAAAGAGGTTAAAGCAATAAATCATAATCGATACTGACAGGACAGTGACCTAGTGATATTAGATCCCTACTTTTTAAAAAAAGATTAGTGTTCAAACTTTAAACATATGTGTGATAAAATAAAAATACCTAACGATCTGTGACTTTTTCAAACTTTGAGTGTAATTTACCAAAATAAATAGTTGTACGAAATCATGAGGACAAAGGCGATAATTATGAAATTATGCAAATGGGAGGTTTACATAACTAGATATTTTCCTTTTTAACTTTTTGTTATTTTTAAAGTTAAGAAAATCTCTTAACAAGTCTCATTATAGAAACAGGTGATTCATAAATTTCAACTTTAAACATCCTTAAAAGTCAGTGGAATGCATAATATGCAGATCAAAATCCTTGAATTGGGCCCCACTGTGCATCATAGATCAGATGCCACGTTTCAGTTGAAAAGCTCACCTCAGATCAGAGTTTTATACACTAGTAGCACATACAGTACTATTACATAAATTACCAAATAACAGACAAGTGGAAAAGAGGAGAGAGAAATATATTTTAGACAGCGGGTGGGTCGGAGCCTGACTGTCAAATCTTCATATTCTTTCTCTCTCTAAAATATCGTCTCTCTCTCTCTCTCTCTAAAATCCAGAATTAAGGGGCTTTCTTCTAGTGATTCGATTCAGTCGCTGATCTTTTCCATTGTTCACTGTGCCTCTCTTCCCACTTAGAGGAATGTTCCCAGATTTTCACGGTACGATTACAATATATATACACTCCATATAGTTTTTATATATATATCTCTATATATAATGATTAATAAATAATTTCCTTATTGTTATCCTTTTTTATATTTGAAATTGTATGAACTTCTGAATTGATATCTGCGATAATATTTTATAAACCCAAAATTGATCGTATCGAGTTGTTATATTTATTTATATTAATCTTATTTACTGTCCAAACAATATATATATATATATGTATATATCACACGCATAACTTTTTTTTTTTTTTCCTTCTGAATTCTAACAATATTATTGTCAAGAATCTTCATATGCTTGTTGATTTTGATTTTCATTAATTTTATCTTCTTCTTTACGGGCCATAATTAAATGGGTTTATTAAGTTATATTTCTTTTTTCTTTTTTTTTTCTATTTTGGGAATTAATTCTTTTGCAAGTGCAAGCTTTAGAGTACGGTTTGAACGTTGAATTCCCAATTCCAATAGTGTCTTCTGTTTTTTTCAAGAATTTCAATTTAAACCCATTTTCTTTGAAATAGGTTTTCTTTCTACCTAATTAGCAATTTTTCTGCTAATGCATACACATCATACAAACACAAACATATATAAGTGTCGGTATATATATATATATATATATATAGATAGATATATCTGTACAACAATGGTGTATTTGCAATAGTGCCCTTATGGCTGTATTATCTCTGCATCATTGACTGTTCTTTGGGGGTCCTGATATTCTTCTTTTCAAACTCTGAGAAAAAACCTTTAGGTGGTATTTCTGAGTACATATTAAAAGGTTCCTTTTTATAGAAATGGGATCTGCTTTTTTACTTCTCATCATCCCCAAATAATAATAATAACAATTAAAATAATCAGTAAACAAATAATGAAAAAAAAAACACACACACACACACAAAAACAACATACATGTTTGTAACATGAGAAGAAGAACCTAACTTTCAGAAAATAAAAATAAAAAAATGCGAAGAAGAACCTATGAGGGTCATGATTTCTTAGTTCAGACCTTGTCTCTTATGCACCATATGTTTTTAAAAAATCCATACCTTTATCATGTTTTGTCTGGGCACTTTGGTAATGGAAGCAAGTACAGATGAGAAAACATGATGATGGGTATTATTTAAAGTAAATTTATAATTTAATAGACATTGTCTCATCTTGTGATTTTTCTCATTTTTTTTTTTTTTTTTTCTTTGTGTGTTCTTGTGTTTCTTAATTGTGCAGGACTGGTTTTGATTTGACTGCATTTTGGTGACTCCAAATGGAGGGGGACACATTTTCAGGACTAGGCAATGGTAGTCAGTTAGATGGCAAAGTTATACAGACATTTCAGAAGAGTTTTGTTCAAGTTCAGAACATATTGGATCAGAACAGATTGTTGATCAATGAAATTAACCAGAATCACGAGTCGAAAATCCCCGACAACCTGGGCAGGAATGTAGGTCTGATCAAAGAGCTGAACAACAACATCAGGAGGGTGGTTGACCTCTATGCTGATCTTTCAAGTTCTTTCTCCAAGTCCATGGAAGCCTCATCTGAAGGAGACTCAAGTGGTGCTTTTAGATCAGATGGGAAATCTGGCCACAAGAGGAATAGGCCTGGGTAGACAGACAGACAATCTCAAGCCAATTCCATTCTTGATTCTTCTGCGTGCCGCCGGCAAACCAGAAATTCGCAGTTTTCTTGAGGTAGATGAACATGATTAGATTGTGTAACTCTGCTGTCATTAGTGCTTCCACTTACTCTACATTTCTTCTCATAAGAATAATTGTTCCAAATCTTCCCTGTCACATTATGACTTTGTAACTGTGAATCTAATTGAAATCAAGCATGTTCTTGCCAAATCTAATTTTCAGATTTTGTTCTGGTTTTTTGATAATCGGGTAATAAAGGCTGGCATTTGTTGATGAATTGATGTAAGCTTCTGTGTTCTTTATATGGACAATCAAATGTGTCTTTGAATACAATTAAAATTTCTTTTTGTTAAAAAAGTGGTCTATGAGCTGTTATATTCTTCTCTCCTTTTCAGGTTGTCAAAAGGCTAAAATCTGTTTTGGCCCTTGTGTCTTTTACAATTCTCTTTTTCATAGAGTTTCTTCTTCTGCTTTTGTTGAAACTCTCATTTATTCTTTTTCCATCCTTAGCCTCTAGAGTCATTTTCTTCCAGACTTCAACTGAGAATTGAATTGAATTGAATTGAAGTGAAGAGAGAGGTGATAATATATAGATGCTGTTTTCAGTCCCCTCCCATGAATTCAAACCACCACCCCCCCCCCCCCCCCCCACCTCTTTTTTTTTTTAACTTTGCTTTGGAAATCACTGTTCATAACTTGTATGGAGAACTTAGGCTTACATCTTTTCAAAGATGCTTTGAAACAAAAGGGAGAAAGCAGCTTTGGATAATCTTGTTGAATCCCAATCACACACCACCATAAGAACAGAATCTCAGATAAGAGATGATGGACTTTGGACCCTTTTTTTAATTTTTGGTTTAATGTGTTTTTTTGTTTGTTATATAACCAATGAAAATCTTGGATGGTATATCGATAGGGAGAGAAATTGATAAAGAATTGAATTGGGATTATAAAGTAGATTGGGGTAGTTCAGGACAAAGCACTAACAGTTCCAGGAGACAGATATGTGTAAATAGTGGCCCCCAACAACATGACAAGGGGCCCAAAGGTTCTTTCTAGGGATGGTACTGGAACTTTTCCATACTTATCCTTTCCTCTACTTACGTTATTTGCATCCACTTTTCTTTTCCTTTTTTCCTCTCTTTAGTCTCTAGCTGCAATAAATGTCTTCGTATGAGCAGTCTTCAGGTTGATCATTCTCCTACATATCTCTCTCCCCCTCCCATTGATTAAGCAGGTGTCTTTGTTGGTGGACCCTATCAATGGCATCTTTATTTCCTGATGTAAGGAGAGATGCCCACACTTAGGTGATTGCTGGATTTATTTTTTATTTTTTATTTTTGTATGAATTATAAACACCATAAATTTTATATGATACCATTATGATATTAAAAATATTAATGACATCATAATCAAATAAATCAGTAAATCAGTCGGACATTATAGTTATATAGTCTCATTCATATAAATCAATGAAGCCGTCCCTTTTTCGAATTTCAAATCATTAATTTTTTTAATAGGATGAAATATAAAAACTTCCTTATAGTTTGAAAAGTGTGTAAATAACAACCTTTATGTTCAAATTACACTCTTGCAACATGAAAAGAGATGTTTACGGGATTTTGTTTTAAGAGTTTCAACGTGAGCCAACCACGTTATATTTGAAGGATGAGTCGGCAATTGAAGTCGGAAGACCTATCATTTCTCATATGAAAAAGACTTATTGTTAGTTAAATAAAGTTAGATAGGTAAAAATACAGAAATGTCCCTCAAGATTCTCTTTTCCAAAATAATAAAAATGAGTACAGTTAAAATTACTTAAAAGGGATTACCCAAAAATAGAGCGTAAAATCAAAACAAATATAATGTAAAAAATGTAATATATATATATATATATATATATATATATATATATATATATATATATATCTTTAAGTCAAATAAATAATTTTTATTATTATCTTTATCTAAAATAATTTATATTATCATCTCTATCTAAAAAAATTAAATGAAATATAATATAATATATATATAAAGTCAAGTGCCAAATCATATTCTTATAAATAATTGTTGAATAGCAATATAAGTAAATATAAAAAGAATATATGTATTTCGTACGAAATAAACTATTTTCTTTTATACAGATGACAAACCCTTAATGTTTGACCAAAGATTTCATTATTAAAAGAATATATAATAGGTATAGACATTTATGTGTATATATATTTGTCTTTTTGATATTTAATTTTATTCTTTTTTTGATAAATTAATATTTAATTATTTGATCACGGGAAAATAAATTGCTAACATAATATGTAAATCACTTTTATGTTTTAGAAAATATTATTTCTATAAAAAAATATTATTTTATATATACACACGACACAAATCTCACACATGGATATGCAGAAAGCCTTTGGTACACATTAGGATATAAGTAGAATTTTTTTAAAAAGATAAATTTAAATTATTTATTATTAGTATTAAAGAAATATAATTTATATACGTGGAAGAGAGCCGTTAGAGAGAGACAGAGAATGAGAAGAAAAATATACATACAAACATAAATTATAGAGAGAAAAAAAATATAAATAGAATATTTATAGAGTAAAAAATAATGAAGTTGTGGTATTATATATATAGAAATGAGGGGAAAATGAATGATAGGCACTTTGAAAAGTCTAAAAGGATAGTGTTGGTATAAAGGAACTTTTTTTTGTTACATGACCAGCATATGTCACTTTTTTAAGTTTGAAGTATTTATTTGCTCATTTTTCATATTACAAGAGTAGAATTTAAATATCAAATGTGTTATTCGCATATTTTTCAAATTATAGGAGATTTTTGACACTTCACCCTTTTTAAATATTATTCTTGAGTATGTCACTTCCTACTAATGATAGTTATATAGCATTAAGTTACTATTCAACCATGATTTCCCTATATCCTCGTGGGACCTTGGATGTCCCTTGGCAGATTGACATATTGCAGAACAAAGCGATGAGTTTTATTTTTCCTCAATATTTAATATACCATACCAAACAAGATGAGCTTTTTGAGATGGAGGTTAATTAGGTAAATAATTTCACTTCCCTATTCATCTTTGTAACAAATACATGATTATAAATTGGGCTATTTAGAACTTGCTGACAAAGAATAAGTGTGAAAAAGCTGAGACATGCATGTTTATGAATAAAAAAAAGATAAAGACTTTTTGCTGCAATCAGCATAAAACTAGTGGGAAACTTTTTTGAAAACATGGGAGATATATATATATCTATATAATGCTTACAAGGTGCTTGTGAAGTAGAAGTGGAAAATGCAAGAAAAAGAAAAAGTCATTTGGAAATCATGAAGGGTGAAAGCAATTTGGAACCAAACAAGGAATTCAGGGAGAAATTATATGAGAACTTTCCTAAAAATGGACAGTTTAACCTTAAAAAGGTAAAAAATATAAGAATAATTTAAAGATTTTTATGAGAACGTTCAAGCATCACCATAGGAAGAGGACTTGGTTGGTATCAAAGATGTATAAGATAACTAGATTTGATTATTAGAAAATAAATATGAGAATGATTGAATAAGAAAAACCATTCCTTTTTATTTACTTTTTCCCCCCTGCAGTTCCATGGAAGTTTCCTTGGCATTTTCGAAATGATTTCCAAATGGCTTTTTCTTTTTCCTGCATTTTCCACTTTTACTTCATACGTTGTCTATTCTATTAGCTGCTGTCTTGGCCCCTTTGTCCTTTTTTTTTTTTTTTCGTTTTCTTCTCGATAAAAAATTCATACTCATTTATTCTTAAAGAGGTTCATACCAATGTCTTTCACTTTACGAGATAGATGATATATCATTAAATGTCTAATATAATCACGATTGAATCATGTTTCCCTCATGTGCTGCTCCGTGCACTGAAATAGTATTGTTTTGATGCACAATACTATTTCAACTAATATTTCTCTTTCTTCAATTTCAACTCATATTTTCCTTTTTTCACTCATCACTCCACTTTTATAATTACCAAATCAACTTGACTCTGCACTATAACGGCACCATTTTGATGCACATGAACAACACAAAATTCCTTGATAGAGGATGAGTTATATATAAGCCGGACGCTAAAATACAGCGTATAAGACGATATGAACCATACGAGATGATTAATTAAAAGTAAAGCAGCCTTGATTAAGGTAATCAATCATAAGGGGGTTGAAGATGAAATGCATTGGTCCCCAAAAACAAGCCAAGCCAAGACAGACTAAACATGCTTTAAAACATAACATGTGAAAGGGAATCTGCTTTTTTTGTTCCTTGCAGTTCCAGCAAACTGCTTGGAAAAGAAACCAAAGTCATGTTTGGAGCCCTACACCTTTACAATAGTGGATCCCGTAGGTACAAGGTACCTACATCCATTAGTTGGATTCCAATTACACTGGAGAATTTATTAAAGGGTCCTTTTTCTGAATTGTGAAAATGATCCGCAAGAATATATAATAAAATTAATTTTTATTATATTAATCCACTAAATATTAAATAATTTAGTGACGTTTCTCTATATATATAGCTAAGAATAACTTAATTATAAGTTAAGACTAAATTAACAATAGCATCAATGATGACAACTTTAATATTTTATTATATATGTGTGAATTAAATTTGTAAAGTAACAGCTATGGGAAAAGATTCTCACAAACAACAAACTCTACTGGTGGCTAGCTAGCTTTACAAAAGCATATTTGACCTTTCTTTCCTGGCAGCTAATTTCAAAGTTGTGGTTGGATTGTACAGTTTGTGGTGGTTTGTAAGTAACTCAAAATAAAAATGGCCATTAATGTTGTTTAATTAAAACTAACCACAGCACATTAAGCATTATTGTTATTCTTTTATAAAATTTAGGGTGCGAGCCAAAAACATCCATATGGTATGCATTTGTATAACCCCTATATATTTTAAAAAGTCTCTAATATTTAATTTTGGAACAAATAAGGACCTGAATACTAAAAAAACTAAAACGTCCCTCTATAACTAAATAAAAAATAAGTAAAAGAACTAATTAAATATAAAATGACTAATCTGTCATTTTATTTTTTTCTTTTCTTTGAATTTCTTCATCATCATCACAGTTGTAGATTTAAACTACCGACAATGAAAAATTGACAACGATTTGATATCTCCGGCGACAATGTTCTTACCGGCTCGGTTTGAAAAATGAGCAAAAAAAGAGTTTGAACTCACGGATAAGATATAAAATTTTAAAAATATCCTTATCTCTTTTTATAATGCCCTTATATATATATATATATATATATATAAGGGCATTATAAAAAGAGATAAGGATATTTTTAAAATTTTATATCTTATCCGTGAGTTCAAACTCTTTTTTTGCTCATTTTTCAAACTTAACGGACTTTTATACATAACATAAGCTCTTCTTTGTTTATATATATATATATATATATATATATATAAGGGCATTATAAAAAGAGATAAGGATATTTTTAAAATTTTATATCTTATCCGTGAGTTCAAACTCTTTTTTTGCTCATTTTTCAAACTTAACGGACTTTTATACATAACATAAGCTCTTCTTTGTTTATTTTTTCAAACTTACGAACTTATATACACAACATAAATGATACAGATGTTATTTATTCAAAATATAAATATTAAGGATATTTTTCTCACTTTACCCTAAAATTTATTTAAACCATCTTTGAAGTTTTTGATAATCGATTAAAATTGGCCATAAATCAATTATAACCTAGCTTTTTCAATGTTACATGGTAAGATTAAACTAGTAACTAGATTTCTTTGAAAATCCATTGCTTTAACACGAGTACATAATACTCCATCAGTAATTCAGTATAAATGCTGAAATTCGTACCTTTTCACCTTTTTGACACCCAAAAACACACACACACACACACACAAAAACCGGCAGAAATATTTCTTCATGTCACAAGAAAAAAGGGTTAATAGAAAAGAATCTCTACATGTTGCATTGCAGCAATGGAACAAAAAGGGTCCGAAAAGCATTCACAACTAATTCTAGGATTCGAAATGATAGGACAGAAAATGTTGATCTAATTGTAACTAGGGATCAATGTGTAAGTTGTTATTGTTTGTATTGATGAGTTACTCATTGGTTGAAGTTGTGTGCCTTTGTAAAGCTCTGTTGTTGTGAGCTTATCGTTTTTCGTTTTATCACTATTGGTTTGAGATTGACTCCTTGATTGTTTGTAAGGCAGTGTTGGATGATGGTGCTTGTTCAGTGGAAATGGCGGCTGTTATTTATGACATACAATGTGCACTTCAGAGAGTTCTCTTGTTTCGGTTTAGCTATGTGCGTTGAGATGGCCCATATGATTACTAAACTCTCTCAAAGTCATCTCCACGAGGACGTTCTCCTATCTTATATTCCATTTGATATACTCCATCGTGCTCAACTTGATTTACAGTGATTTTGGAAGTGTCTATTGTTTGTGTTGTTTGCCGGGAAAAAAAAAAGTTTTATTTGATTGGTATGTACAAAAATATCATTTATAATTTATTTATTTTCCAACTGCTGAAATAGTTGGCAATCCAATGAATATATGTTATTTAACATTAATTTTCACGATCATGACAATACATAACTAGATAATTCCAATTTTAGGAGATGTAATTTAATAATACCTTTGCCTTGACAGCTCTTTTATTTTCTATAAAATTATGAACTTTGGACCACAGTGATCTATTGTTGAAGTCAACCTTGTTAAAATTTAGATCAGCATTTCATAATCATGGCTGTAGTTGCAGACCGTATAAGGCATAATGTCGTGAAATAGAGTGACGCCAGAAATACTTTTTAACCTCACACGTACACCCAAAATGCAAATTTCATCTACAAAATTCAATACATATTGGTTTTTGATGAATTTCAATGATTCTTGTTAAATTTATAAAGATGATTTAATACGAGTAATGGCTTATACATGAATTTTAAATTGTTGTCGGCAATAAAAATATATTAAAAAAAAGAGGAATAATAGACTTTAACATGAAATAGATATAAATTTTCCTGTAGAATCATGATTTGTAGTCACAGTCACAGTGTAGGAAATTTAAACAAATATTAATATAAATCAACTAAACCGGCCAATTCACATGAGGGTAAATGAAATGTAGGTGACTCAAGATTGGGCAAAAATAAGGCTGGTAGGCATCTGAATTAAGTTATTCTTCGGTTAGTTTTATGTGGATTCTGGACTTTTCTTAGCCTAGTTATTGTACAAAGATTCTAGGTCCACTGCACAAAGTCAACAAGGCTTTTGACAAACATGGATCCCTAGGGTCATAGGTAACATCTACCCTGTTTGGTTATATATATATATATATATATATATATATATATTGAGAATTAAAAATTTAAATAATGTACAAAAATTTGTTTAATTGACAATTTTAAAGAATTGTACTATGAAAACTCATCTTAAAAAAGGTTTGTTTTTAGGAAATTGTCTTTTGTAGTTTTTTGAAAATATTTTTTTTGTGTTCTAGAATAGTTCTTTAAGTGACAAATCAAGGAACTTCAGTTAATTTTTTTTTTTTAAAAAATAAAATCTCTATCACTTAATAAATCCATACCACATTTTAAATTTATATATTGGGGTTTGAAAATTTTTAATTAATTAGCTCTGTTTATTTAGATATAAAATATATTTTTTTTGTTATTTAGTGTTTGGTTATCGTAAAATATTTACAAAAAATAAAAAGATATTAAAATTTTAAAAAAATTATTAACCATCAATTTTTGATAAATTATTTTACACGCCTAACTCGATGAACTTGATATCGACTTAGACCTTTTTCAAATTTTAAAAAATAATTTACCTAAAAAAAAAAAAATTTACGTGGAAACACATGAATACTAATTTCAATTCGAAAACACAGATAACATGTAGCACTAATATAACTTGGGTTACTACGCCCATTATTTCGTGGATACTGCTTTGCAGTTGGATTATTGTAGAAGAGGAGTATTATTGGGCCAGCCTAAATTCGCCTTTACCACCAAAGAAACCCAAATATAATTTCAAAACTCATCTCGACCGTCCGATCATTTCTGCATCTAACATATCACAGTGAACAAGACAAAGCCCTAGCAAAATTAGGGTTTCCGACCGTTTCTTCCTCTAACAATATAACAGCAAACAAGACAAAACCCTAGGGAAATTAGGGTTTGCAGAGCACGAACCAAAGCAACAATTGGATCTCAGTTGTAGGAACTGCGTAGCTTTGCTACTTACTCGAACAACCTTCGAGAATGGCTACTCAAATGAGCAAAAAGCGAAAGGTCAGTTCTTCATTCTCATATCAGCCTCGATCTATTTATGTATGTATATGCATATACATATATGTGTTAATGTCGTTTTATTGATTTGAGTTGAGTTGGTTTCAGTTTGTAGCCGATGGAGTGTTCTTCGCTGAGCTGAACGAGGTCTTGACCAGAGAACTTGCTGAGGATGGATACTCTGGCGTCGAGGTTAGGGTAACTCCGATGCGTACGGAGATCATCATCAGAGCCACCCGAACTCAGAATGTTCTCGGTAATTTCTGTTTCTTAGGGTTTTTCATTTGATCATCATTACAATTGTTTCAACGATTCTGAATTATTGGGTTTTTTATAATTTTGAATATTCATTGATCGAAGGTGAGAAGGGAAGGAGAATTAGAGAGCTCACATCCGTTGTACAGAAACGGTTTAAGTTTCCTGAGAACAGTGTGGAGTTGTATGCTGAGAAAGTCAACAACAGAGGCCTTTGTGCTATTGCTCAGGCCGAATCTCTGCGCTACAAGCTCCTCGGCGGTCTTGCCGTTCGAAGGTATTTGCTTCAATTTTGTTCAATCATTTTTTTTTTTGTTTGTGTTTTTTGATGATATACTCAAAATAGGGTTGATCATTATAATATAGTAAGAGTGTGTTTCTCATTTTGCAAATATTCCGTATGAATAAAATGTTGTCTGATTAAACAAATCAATTTGTGGTTTGAGCAAGGTTCTAGTTCTGAGAAATGGTTGTGATAATTGTTTTTTGCTGAGTTATTGTATGTTATCTGTTGTGTGTCAAATTAAAAATATTTGAAAGTAAGTATAGATGTAATGGTAATTTGGAGTGTGATATAGCTTAGGACTTGAGGGGAAAATTCTCTGGTACGAGGGAGAGAAAGTGTGAAAGACTTTATAATAGCTTTTGAATTGTTGCTGACTGGGGCTTTATTATCATTTGGAGAACTTAGGGCTAGTTTGGTGTGGTGGAATGGAATACAAAGAAAGTGAAATGGAATGGTTTTTATTCCATTCTTGTGTTTGGTGCCCAATTTTAAACTTAGAATCGTCATTCTCCACCATTCTTGGAGAATGGTCATTCCATCAAAGTCATTCCACCGGCAAACAAAAGGAATGACCATTCCATTCCCTCTTTCAACTCTCTCTCTCTCTCTCTCTCCCAACATTTCTCTGTCTAGACCACCCCCATCGGAAACCATGGCGCCCAATCTAAAACCCCATCTGGGTCTCCTCCTTTTCTCTCTCTACATCATCTCCGTCCCCGCAATTTCCCCCTCCTCCGATCCCCCAACAGTCTACGAAATTCTCCCCCAATTTGGCCTCCCGAGCGGTCTCTTGCCAGACTCCGTCAAATCCTACTCTCTCTCCGATGACGGAAGCTTCGTCGTCGAGCTCGGAAAGCCATGCTATATACAGTTTGAGTACTTGGTCTATTACAAGACGAAAATTATAGGGAAGCTCAAATATGGGTCAATCACGAATTTGGATGGCATTTAGGTCCAACGGTTCTTTTTGTCCCCTCTGTCGGTGACGATCTGACAGAACAGAAGCATGTTTTTTCTCTATTAGTCGATTCCTCTCTCACAGTTGTTTTTGGTGGATTTCATCTATTTTTGAGAGTTGTTTTTGGTATTTTTGGTGGATTTCAGAATTCATTTATCGAAATGAATAGTGTTGATGGTCGTGGTTGTGGCAGTGGGAATGTTGATAGCTATGGAGACTCTGTGTTTATCTTTCTATCTGGTCTATTTTCTCTCTCCATCATCTCTTCACCCTTTTGCTTTTGTTAATTTTTTTACAATAATAAAATGTATTTAAAATAATATAAATCCATTCCATTCCAACTTTACACATTCCATGTTTGCAACCAAACGGTAGAATGGAAATCAACATTCCCATTCTATTCCCTTCTCATTCCATTCCGACCTCTATTCGCATTCCATTCCAATTCATTCCTGCACACCAAATTAGCCCTTAATTCTGTTGTGGTAGTACAATTATAATTGCTATGATGAGCTTGTTTTGGTGTCCAAATTTGCTGATTGATCTTTTGTGTGTGTGGGAAAGATTAATGATTGGAAGGGATGCATCCTTTAGGTTAGTATCTGATTTGCAATGGCTAACCCTTTAGCACCATTCCGTTTCTTCTAAATGAATCTTACATATCAAAAAATATTCTTCTGCTTGTTTCTGCACTTGCTTGTGTCTGAAATTGGTATCCGTCGGTCTAAGATGCTGTTACTAATGCCTATTCTTTTCTAATTTGTATAGCTGATTGATCAAATGGTTGTCATTATTATCACCCTTTTTTAAATGTCCTTAAGCTGAAGCCAATTGAAAATAATAAGGCTTCATGAATTTTTGATCAGCATAAAAATGTAGCTTTCTGTTGTATGGTGATTTTTTTTTTTTTAATTACTAATTTTTATTGTCATCGAAAAAGCAGATTGGTGCTTCTGTACCAACTCTGTGTCGGAAGATGACTACATCAATCATGTCTCTCCATGCCATCATCCTCGTGAAATACACTGGTTTTCATGCAGTAACATTGGGAGGGTACATGACAAGAGATCTGTAGTTATCTTTATGGTTCACAATTTTTTTTCTTCCTTTTCCTCTTCTCTACCAGTCTCGAAACCATGATCTAGGGCTTGAGAGTTAGACTCGAAGCCAGTGGGACAAAGGTAGACCAGTTATATGGTTCACATTAGATTCAAACCTTTGTTGGCCCACCATATCAGTTATCTGTACCACATCAATTGCAAGGGCTTTCAATTTGTATGGATTATTTCTTTTATCTTTGTTTTTCTTTTAGGTATTTTTAGGTCATGTCTTGGTCATCAGGGGTAGTCATACGGCACCATTTTGATGTTTGTGTCTTTTTTTCACATCTTAGATTGCTTTTTTCTTACCTATTTTTTGTCTGATTGTTTTCTTCTTCATGGCCAGAATTTTAATTTATTGTGAAATTAATGTTTGGAACCAACATTTGTGATGTTTATTATCATCTTTTAGGGCCTGTTATGGTGTTTTGAGATTTATCATGGAGAGTGGGGCAAAGGGGTGTGAGGTATGTGCACTAATAGCCTTTGGCTTCCTTGGATCCAGTTCTTGAATTATCTTTGATATTGAATATAGAGTGTTGCTGGTACATGTAACAGGTGATTGTTAGCGGAAAGCTTAGGGCACAGCGTGCAAAATCAATGAAGTTTAAAGATGGTTACATGATATCTTCTGGTCATCCGGTCAATGAGTACATTGATTCAGCTGTTAGACATGTACTTCTGAGACAGGTTTATCTCTTGTGCTATGGTTTTTTGTTCAGAACGAACACTCCAAACATCTCTTTCTTTCTCATGGGGGAAATAGAGAAGGATTCTCTTACCGATGTTTTCATTTTAAGAGTCTTCTGATCATGTTCAGCATTGTGTTTTTTACAGGGAGTACTTGGTATCAAGGTCAAGATCATGCTTGATTGGGATCCCAAGGGAAAGCAGGGTCCAGCAACGCCCCTTCCAGATCTTGTAACAATCCATCCTCCAAAGGAGGAAGAGGAATACATCAGGCCACCACCAATGATTCCTACTGATGTCGAGGTTCCTGTAGCTTAAAGCATCGGTTACAGCTTGAAATCAGTCTTCTTCTCATTTTATATTTTATTTATTGAATATTCTAGAGCTGTTACTTTTTGCATGGATGGGTTTGTGTACTGAAGATGACAAACTGTGCCAAAGTAACTCTGTTATCTCCTTGGTTCTGTTCAACTTTAGTAGTAATGAGTTTTGTTTAACGGATATATTTTCAGTTCCCCTTCCCCTCATTTCTCCATTATAGAAAGCATGCATTTTGTTTCATCACGCCTTTATTTCGTATGAATGAGGCTGGTATATAAATTTTTGTCCTGCATTCCACCCAATTACAAGTCATAACAGGTTGTCTTCAATTCATGACAATAACCTTCCTTGATTTGTCTTCGATTTCTATCCAAGATAACGAATTGTTAGACTTGTATGAATGTTTATGACGGGAGGTAAAATCGATGGTTCATGCATTCCTCATTTTTGTACTTTTAACATGTTGGATAACTGGACTGGGTGGATGAGCTTTCAAAGATACTGGACAAGGCAAACTCTTTTTAGTTCTTCAAGTTGAGGAGCTAGTTCGAGTGTTTTATTTGTATTTTTTATTATTGTTATTTTTATCAATTCTTTTAGGAAATATTATTTGAAAAGTTAAATTTAAGGTATCTCTTTAAATAAGGATGATTTCAAAGCTGCATTTTTGTTAGGTTATCAAATTATGCATTCCTATGAGCTATTCTTAGGTATACATTATTTTTAAGCTTTGTTTATTTTTATCAATCATAAGGTCAAATTACAGTCCGTTAATACTAGTGATTGGTTAACAGGTGAGTTGATTTACTAAAAGACTCCCAGATAATACATCATTTGTTTAATAAATGTCTTGTAAAATAAGAGTAATATTGGAATTTCAAGGTTCTATATAATTGTTTTCAAATTTCAAAGGAATCCAGTATATTTTTATAATTTGTAATTTAAAAGTTTATGTAATTTTTTTAAAAAAAGATTTAAAAGGAATCCAATGAAATTTATTCTATGTTAGATTGTGTTAAAACTTAATAACGGACGCTCTTGTCCCAATTACGATGGATTTGTGTTAAAGAAGAGAAAATAGAGAAAAAGTTAAAAGAGAGAATTTTGAAAAAGTTAAAAAAGACAATTTTAAAAACTTAAAAAATACAATATAATAAGTATTTTTCATAATTAAATTATTTTTTAATTTATTTGGAAACAATATTTTAAAAAATACTTTTGCTAAGGAGGGAATGCAATTGTCTTGACAAATTGTCTAAGGTTTTACTTAGAATGCAACACACTTTTATTTCTTTATTATTATTATTTTTTAATAAAAACAATTTTAAGCCGTTCAAAAGCAATACCGAACGAGTATGTGCCTAACCCGAGTTTCATTTGTAGATTTTAATCGGTTACCCAATATTTGTAATTGGGTCAAATCAATCCCAAACTAGCTGACCCATTCTTACACAACAACTACAACACTGTCCGGTTCAACTTACACTTGTAGAGAAGAACTTTTCTTAAGTGACTGCCTTTCAAAAAATATATAGATATATATATATATATTGAACCTTGATGAAGCTCTTACCAGGGAGGAACCACTTGCATCTTTTGCAACGTTATATAATGCAGATATTGCAGTCCTCAACAGCTATAAATCTACCCTTTTCTACAACTTTCAGTCTCACACTTTCCAAGTGGTTAAGCTTGATGATTTGCCCAGTCACATTTTTCCCTTCCGGTCAGATATGGAGTCGGTTGATTTCGAGGGTGGAGAATAGGTTTTGATCATAAATTGTTTTTGTAAGAGATTATATATATATAATTTTCATTTTCATTGTACTCGTTGATTTGTCGGTAATTAGTAAAATAGACTATGTTTAATAACACTCTCTCTGTATACATTTATATTGACAATTCTTATTATATCGAATGTCAAATTGCATAAAACCTTCCACTAATTTCAATTTTTGGCATAACAAAAATAGTTAGCTATAAAACTTCCTAAGAATCTTGGTTGTACTATTTTTTTTTTCTTAATAATTGAAACAAAGAAAAAAAATACTTTCGAATGCAATTAGCTAGACATAATTTTTTTAAGTACTCACTTCAAAGTCAATTGAATAATTCTTATCAGTTCTAAATAAGAGGGAAAAAAAAGAGACAACATTAATTAATCCACTTGGGAGTATTTAAAATCATCTAATAAATTGCTTTTTCAGTTGTATTGGTTTGACGCATTTAGTATTTGAGTTTTACATCAAGATTGAAAAAATCATATACATATATATAAGAAGGATTATTTTAATGAAAATGTTTTAAGTCCAAAGAATCAAGAGAAAGGTTATTTATGATCAACTTGGTTAAAAAACGTAGGAATTGTGCTCTTTTAAGACATTCAAATTGTACATCAATGGTTTAATTAATTCGTTGTTGCTAATCCAAACAAATTAGGACTTTACATTGAAATGGTTCAGACAAATATATGAAGACTTCGTTTTATATTTGAAAGCAATTTAAAGATTGGGAATGAAGAAAATAGTAATAGGATGAGACCAGAAAGATGTGATAAAAAGTCTCATTTCGCATTATTTTTGAAGAGTATAGGAATGATGGTTACACTAGTTTTATAGTATCAAAATGTTAAATGTAGAACAAAAAAGTAATAAAGTAAAGGAAGGGAGGGCATACTTGTAATTTAGACAGTCAAAATTTTGTTATTTCTTAACCTGAATTCAACTGTCACTTTTCTCATTTGCCGGTGTTCTCACTTGTTAAATCACCCGCCATTTAACATTTCTCTGAAACCCTAATCTCTCTCTCTCTCTCTAAATTCGAAGAAATTTCTAAAAATATCTTTCAGTATCACAATTTCTAATTCCGATTATTCTCTGCTCAATCGAATCTCTTCTGTTCGTAGAGCAATTCCACTCTCAATTCGAGTCTCATTTTCCATTTTCATCACCTCAAGCAAATTCCAATTCCTCTTTCACTCTCTTTAATTTCTAGGGTTTCAAAAATGCCAGTGAATCTGACGCCAGATGCGATTTCGGCAATAAACGCCGGTGATGTGAATTCGAAGCCGCTCGTTCAGGTATTGGACATCAAACTCATTGGTAACAGTAACGCTCAGGAACGATACCGTTTTCTGCTGTCCGATGCCGTTTTTACTGAGCACGCAATGCTGGCCACTCAGCTCAATGATCGTGTGAAGAGCGGCCAAGTTCGTAAGGGATCTGTTATTCAGTTGATCGATTACATCTGCAGTACTGTTCAGAATCGCAAGTCAGTAATTTATCCCTAATGTTTTTTCATACATGTGCTTGTGTGTGTGTGTGTATATATATTGAATGTGTTTGAGATTGATGCAGCGTGTCAGTGAATTTCTCCAATTTGTTCTGTATTGCTGCCAAATGTAGGTTTTAGCATCTCACTGTTATTGACATACAGAGTATAATTCGTTTTAGATTGATGCAGTGTGTTAGTGACTTGCTCCAATTTGTTAGGTACAGCTACCAAATGTAGGTTTAGACATCTCACTGTTCTTGAAATGCAGAGTATAGTTGGTTTGAGATTGATGCAGCGTTTTAGTGACTTGCTCCAATTTGTTCTGTATTGCGGCCAAATGTAGGTTTTGACATCTCACTGTTCTTGAGATACAGACTATAATTCGGAGATAACCAGTACTGACAATTCAAATCAATTATATATTTGATTCAAATCGTTATACACAAATACTTCGTACATATATAAGTACATTCATTCAGACATGTATACAAATGTCCACTTGTGGTACAATTTAGGATTGACTTGGTTCGCCATTATATATATATATTTTCCTTTTCAAACAGCTGCTTACTGAGTTTTTAATTGATAGCAATGGGGGTAGAATGTGAATTGTCTATTTCAAAATTGAATACGTATTTGTGTTGTGAATGGTGACTAAAATCTGTTTGTATTGGAGAAAAAATTTCTATGTATATGCTAAAATTATCCAACCACTATATGGGCTGGTTTTTGTCATAGTCATCCTTAATAGTGATTGTTTACTTTTACTAATTCTAATAAATAGTAATTTCTTATCAGCATTTAACAAAAGTCTCTCAAATTTTTTTGTAAACTAAGGAAGTTGTCTCTATAATTATAAGGTGGTGCAAACTTGTTTCCATTTGCATCAGTGAATCTTGTATTTGTATTTATGTATAAGTTGGGGAAAATGATTCATTTGTATTAACTATTATGAATTCAAATATATTGAACCGCCCTCTAAAGACTGTAATATATTGTACTTCCTAATTTTATTTTGAATATTTGGAAATTATTGTCACGTCTTTTTAGGAGCATGTTTCTGCATATTTGATTGAAACTGGGCCATCTTTTTTATTTTAGAACTTGGAATCTATGTGTTCTCGCAGGATTATTGTTGTTCTAAACATGGAAACTATTATATCAGACTGTGAAACCATTGGGAACCCAAAAATGTTATCAGGTTCTGATTCAACAGCTCAAAAACCAGTTCCTGCTAGCAGTTCAGGGTTCCCAACAAAGGCTACAAATAGCAATCATCGGAGTGCCCAAAATTCCGGTAATAATATTCAGAGTTTTCGCCCTACTATTCAACCTCCCTACCAACCTCCTCCAAATTACAGAAACCATGGGGCAATTACGAGAAATGAGGCACCGGCACGCGTTATTCCAATAGCTGCTTTGAATCCGTACCAGGGCCGTTGGGCTATCAAGGCAAGAGTGACTGCAAAGGGAGATATCCGCCGCTACAACAATGCCAGGGGAGATGGGAAGGTCTTTTCTTTTGATATACTCGACTCTGATGGAGGAGAAATACGAGCAACCTGCTTTAATGCTGTTGTTGACCGTTTTTATGATATCATTGAGGTTGGAAAAGTCTATATGATATCAAAAGGCAGCTTAAAACCTGCCCAGAAGAACTTCAACCATCTGAAGAATGAATGGGAGATATTTTTGGAGGCAACTTCAACCGTGGATCTTTGCCCAGATGAAGATGGTTCCATACCACAGCAGCAGTTCTTATTCAAAAGTATCAGTGAGATTGAGAGCAGCAAAAGCAATTCCATATTAGATGTTATTGGTATAGTAATATCTGTGAACCCTTCAGTCCCTATCTTGAGAAAAAACGGTATGGAAACTCAGAGAAGGATTCTGAATCTAAAGGATCAATCTGGGCGGAGTGTTGAATTAACACTTTGGGGAGATTTCTGCAACAGGGAAGGTCAAACGCTGCAAGAAATGGTTGATGCTGGGCTTTTTCCAGTTTTAGCTGTCAAAGCTGGGAAAGTTAATGACTTCAGTGGGAAATCAGTAGGGAGTATTTCTGCCACCCAGCTCTTCATAAATCCAGATTCTCCAGAGGCCCATAGCCTGAGACAGTGGTTTGATCAAGGGGGAAAGAATACTTCGTCTCAGTCCATCTCTAAAGACATTATGCCAGGGGGGGCAAAGAATGAGATCCGCAAAACAGTGTCTCAGATCAAAGACGAAGCTCTTGGAAGATCAGATAAGCCAGATTGGGTCACAGTGAAGGCAACCATATCTTTCATTAAAACAGATACTTTCTGTTACACAGCTTGCCCATTAATGATTGGAGACAGACAATGTAATAAGAAAGTGACGAGGGCAGGAAATTCAGGATGGCAATGTGACAGGTGTAATCAAGAATTTGAGGAGTGTGATTACAGATACCTTCTCCAAGCTCAAATTCAAGATCATACGGGATTGACTTGGGTGACAGCTTTTCAGGAGTCAGGGGAAGAGATCTTGGGTTGTTCTGCAAAAGAGTTGTACTTTATGAAACATGAAGAACAGGACGATTTGAGGTTTGGAGAAGTCATCCGAAACAGTCTCTTCACCAACTATCTGTGTAGGCTTAAAATTAAAGAGGAAATGTATGGTGATGAACAAAGGGTGAAGATCACGGTTGTCAAGGCAGAGAAGGTAGACTATTCTGCGGAGTGCAGATACCTGCTTAATTTGATTCCGGGGTTTCAACACCACTGAAACCATTCTGAACCAAAAGAAATGGTCATGCAGTAGTTTTAGTTCTGCGGAAAAGATTAACCTTCTGATGAAGAGAAACCAACACTGAATCTGTTATTGACTTTATGAATAAATGTCAGAAGATCAATATATTTGTACAAGCCACCACCAAGGTGAGTTTGCATATCTGTTCTTAACATTTTTAAAGTTCCACTTACAATTCAATTGTAGCAGTTTTTATTCACTTGAATATAAACAATATAAATCCATTGCCTTCGTGATTGAGCTAAAAGTATCGACAATGGCTTAACCAGCATTAAACGGGCACTGCACCATGTTGTTGTTGCTTCTATTTCTGCTTCTCATTGGTAAGAACATAAGTTTATTTTATTTGCTGTAGTTTACTCCGCTATATAGGACTTCAGCACCATTTTATGCGAGTCATTTCTTTATTGTAGCCGAAGCAATATATGATTTGTTGGTTTGTCTGGCTAGAGATTGTGTTAGTCATATGTATGCGAGATAGATTCTATGTAGAGCAAGGTGTTACCAGAATTCCTTTTATTGGCACTTGTATAGGAAATATTTAGTCAACAGAAAACAATGCATTGCTGACAAGAGAGTTACACTTGAGCACAGATCATTACAACAAACATTCTACAGATGCATGAAGAAGAAATAAAAGGGGTTGGTTCATAAGCACATTTCAAAGCTATTATGGTTCAACTCCGCTTGACAGGATCGAAGTTGGACACACCAATCACAGCACCAACAATTGCACCAAGCACAATTCCACCAGCAACGATGCTGAGCAAGAAGTTCTTGAGAGACGGGGAAACACCGGACGCAGCCTGGGCCGCCTCCGGAATCACCATGGAAGCCGTCAGTGCGGCTGCTGTCAATCCTGTCACCGCCTTCTCCTTCAGCGAAGCCTTCACTTGAAACCTTCCTCCCATGGACCTTGATCCCCCCATCGCCTTTGAGGACCTGACTGGCAATGGCTTAATGAAGGCATCGGAGCTTGGCAACCTCTTTTGGGTTGCCGAAGTTAGTGGCATTGGTGCCAAAACCGCTGAAGTAGAGGCCATTGTCTTCTCTTTTTCTCAGATCTTCCAACTCAACTAGCTTATTTCTGCAAGTTTTTAGGTGATGATGAATGAGAGAGGATGGTACTGATATGGTGTGTTGAGATAATATTGGTTTAGGTGGAGATGTGGAGGAAAATGGTTTAATGAGAGGTGGAGAATTAAGATATGACATCTCCACCTTTATCCAACATGTCAGCTTCCCCATTTGCCTATAGTGGATAAGGTTATCCCATTGGCATTGCCCCATCCTATTATACTATCAAGCTGAAATGTACCATTTTGTTTTCTCTCTCTTGTTGTATTACCCCTGGTCAGAGCAGTATTGCATTCTTGGAGTTTAGATGTGGGCTAAGTTTCAGGCTTTTGTCCAGGCCCATATCAGTTCTAGTTAAGCCCAGCGGACATTTAAATGGCCCAATCTCAAACCGTTTAAACTCAAATGAGCTTACCTATAGGATTTTTTTATTTTTTATTTTTTAAACGTCTTACCTATAGGAATTGAAATTTTGTCGTCCGGACTTGGTTCAAGCTAGTTGCAAATTCGTAGCTCTTTAACCTGTTGATAAAATCATTGAGTTGATCCCAAATTCTGAATGCTTTTATAAGAAAACCAGATCTTCATTGAAAACAAGCATATTACATCTCGAATGAAATAAATGAATTGTAAATAACATCTTAATAACATGTTATAATACAATTAATTTGATACAACCACCACCAGAAAAATCCCAACTTCAATTACAGAAAAAATCCATATGACCTTGAGAGGGAATCATGGAATCCCCTATTATGGTGTTGGATTTTAAGTTCTTTGAAACTGTGCAACCATGTGTTATTAAAAAGTTCCCCATTCACAAACAACCAGGTGTCCCAAACTAATTAGTTTATACACATACTCAAACATGAAAGCTAACATTATCTTTAAACATGTCACCGGTTCACTTGAAAGGAATTTGCAGTAAGTAATGAGAGAGGGCACATACTTGTCATAAAGTAGAAACAATCTCTCACTAGCAAATTGATCACCGTAGAACAGTTGCAGATGTTGAGGGCACAGAACCACTATAATATGAAGATCAGCCACAAGTTTATTTCTAACAATATGTGTGTGTGTGGGAGAGAGAGAGAGACTATTAACATCATTAAAGAATAAAAGTACTTTTTGAATACTTAAAGATTTAAAACAAGTTTATTACAAATCTGCTAGTTTCTGCCCTTTCTGGTGATGTGAAGTTTCAGTTTCTTCTAATGAAATAAAACATTCTGATACATCTGACTTCAAACCAAATACTACTAATGTCAAATAACCTTTTCAGAAAATTGAAAATGAACAAATAGAATCATGCCCTAGGAAGAGAAGGATAAGCTGCACCAGACTAATTTTAAAAAAAACTAGATTATTTAATAAATTTAGATTAAAAATTTTCTTTTTTTCCTTCTTTTTTCCTAATTTTTTTAAGTAAATTCTTTAAAAATATTTCTGAATATAGAAGAGTTGAGCGATGAGATTTTTGCAGCAATATGAGAGGAGAGAAGCTGACATTAAGGAAGCCAGTACTGCTTGGAAAGTACAAGATTCAACAAGTTCATTGCAAGTGTTCTACTAATTTCTGCCCTTTCAAGTGATGTGATCTTTATGGTTCATCTATTAGAAAGAAAATAGTGCTGATATCCTCTTTTCAAACCAAAAGCTTGCAATGTATTGTCTTAAAAAATGGAAAATGAATGACGGAACCTGTCTTAGGAACAGGCAAAGCAGGATATTACTTACCAAAAAATAATAATAATAATGGCAAAGCAGGATCGTGGAACTGAATTAGATTAATTGCACCATTTCTGAAGTTTAGGAAATTAAGCATTTAAGACTTTTAGGTTCAGAGTAGTCAAATCCAGGTGGGTTGAGCATCCGAAGGAAGGAATTTGATTAGTGGAGTAATTCAGTGCGGGAGTACACCAATAATGCAATTAAAAAAAATAAATAAATAAACAAACCAATCAGTAGAGAGATTTTCAAATCAGTTTCATAGTTGTTGAAGGCTCAAGGCAAACTACGGCGCCAAAGGTCTTATGGAGCCCAAGTGCAAGGCGCAATATAAAGCTCAAGCCTGATCAAAGTAAGGCACATGTATAATAATAACACATATTAATTATAAATATGCAATACAAACTTGTCAATATCAAAATAACGATTTTTTTTGACATATATCAATTCATTTGGTTAGCTAAATCAACAAATATATATCTTTTATATTTGCATATGAATTTAATAAATGTACAATTGGAACAATTCAAGATATGAGACACATAATATAAAAATCTCTAAAAATGGTATTTTTGATATATCACCTAAGAGTAGCAGGTAAATTCATCATCATCATCATCCTTGCCTTTGTCCCCATATGAATGGGGTCAGCCACATGAATTCTCTTTTTCTCTTTTTCCATTCTAGTATTAGGTAAATTAACAAAATTAAATGTGATTACAAAATCTAAAACAAAAAAAAAACTACAATCGTCCAATTTTTAAACAGATATTATCATATATTTTCAGAATCAGGCACTAACTGCAATTAATGTAAATAGTGAACAATAATTTTATGAATTCTGTCAAATATTTCATGAGGTTAGACGATACCATCCAATAAGTATGATCATGATATGACAGAATTTTTTTTAATATAGTAGTCATTAAATAAATAAATAAAATGACATGAATAAATTATTAAAAAATAAAAGGAGTGCCTTTTTTAAGCCTGCAGGCTACTAAAAGGCACAAGCCTGAGGGGTTTATGTCAGCCGGATTGAAGGGGCGTGGCCTATACTAGGTTGAGATGCTCTAATTGAGCCTTGACGAGCTTGGGGCTTTTTTTGGAGCATAGGCACGCCTTTAACGACTATGATCATTTTGGAACCTTCAATCATAAGTAGCTCTGAAAAATGGTAAAACAAAACAAGTTAAACACAAAGCTCCAACATGAGGCTTGACATCAAAAGACTCGATTCGAGTGACACTGCACATCTTTAAAAGTCTTACACCTGATGTGCACAAATATCAGAAGTTATTTCATTAAGTTATATATGCTTGACTGTGTAAATTGGAGCCAAAATTTACATTTAGTTAATCATGATCATGTTTCCTGCATCCTTACAAATTGGCCCTTGGAGCTGAGACCGCCTAACTATAATTATATTGAATCAATTTAGACACTACATTTAGTTAATCATTATTGTAAAACTAATATATATATATATATGTATATGTGTATATAAAAATAAATATAATAAGAGGCACAAAAGAATTTGGTTGACTTACTCTTTAATTTTAGCTTTTAGAGCTACTATACTCTCAGCTGAAGTGGAAAAATCAACATTGAACTCCACAGCGTCGCTCATCTCTGGGCTTCGATAAAAATTGCCGATTGGCTTTGTAGCCAAAACAGAATTTGGATAGTATATCTTTTCATTGTCATATTGCAGAAATATTGTTGTCAAAATGTTCATCTCTTCAACAACCATCTGCAAATTTTAAATGTATAAGGAGATTCAGGACAAAAGTTAACAGAAGTAACCCGGATTATGAAATTATAAGTATTCCAGGCCCAATGAGTTACCTGTACTCCATCAATGACACAACGATCACCCACATCAAATGGGTGCATCACAAATACAAATATGATGGCTTCAAATACAGTCTTACACGTGTTGCCAAACATAAACACAAGTAAAACCTCAGATGAAATGAAGACGAGCACTTGGGTTGTTGCAAATCCCATCAAAAGGAACCAAATGATCAAGATCAAGACAAGTACAATCCCAGAAACAATTTTGTTAAGCTCTTCTATAGCTGTTTTGGTGTCATTTAAAGAATGTGCCAGTTTCCGTTCATTGTAAACATTTACCTGTAACCAAGAACAAATTTATCAGAGTCAAGATATTAATTTTCTCCCATCTAACTAAGACTTCTATCCATTTATTTGAAGTGGATACACCAGATGGGGTTTTCCAACAAGCTTAAACTCCATTATCCCATGTTACAGTACTGCTGAGAGCAGATTCTTACAATTGATCATAGCCAAAAAAGCCAAGAAAAGCATAAACAAACGCTTATGGTATGCTACAATTAAAACCTACACTCTTTCTAAGAGATAGCTTGGATAACCTAAAACTTTCTTCAGTATAATACAACTCAAAGTCCAAAAAACGACCCAGCAAGTAGCTTGTGTTAATACTATAATTTGTTTTATGGCAATGATATGGGGTTAGCAGCCTGCATTCTGATAGTGACAAACAAATGAAGATAGAAGTATCAGATTTTACTATATATTTGGCTAGTATACACAGTAATATAGAAAGTTAAGAAATCAGATACAAGAAAATCTTGTGGAACGAACCCATACACAGAAAATTGAAAAACAGAGATCTTACCACCCAATGCTTTAAAGCTGATTTCTTAATCTTTCCCGTTTCTGCTGCTCCTTCAAACAAAGGAAATACATTACCCACCTCCTCTTTTTTCATGAAGCACAAGAGGTCCTCCTCGTCATTATACCTGGCCCATAGAACACCAAAAAGCATGATAAAATTCCTGAACAACCAAATGTGATGAAACATGGAAACATTTAAAAAAAATTAGTCTTACCGGTGGCCGGGCTTTGCCACATTTTTAAATATCAGAATAGAAGCAGTCTTTGCTTCCAATTCACTAGTAATCTCCTTATTTTCAACACCATCATCATCAACACTCTGGTCAAGTGCATCGGAAAGAGTAAAAATCCCTGAGCGCCGTATCACTTCCATTAACCCTCTCATGGTCCAAGCGGAAATCCTCTCTTGCTTCATCTTATGAAGCTTCTCTACATCAATCACATCTTCTTTCTCACCTTGTTTTCCTTTCGTAGTATTCTTGAAACTCAACTGACCACTCCTCGATCGGCCAACTCCCTCTGCGTATTCCATCAATGGAAACCCTGAAAGGGTCTGAAGAACATACTGATGAAAGATAGATTCTTGAGTTCTATCAAAAAACCTCTTGACGTGGAATGAAGAAGCCAATATCTTTAAGAGAAGAGTCTTCAGCATCCACATAGCAGCCGCAATTAGACTTGACGCAAGGGCCCTTGTGATATATTTAAAA